GCAGAAGCTGCCTTCTAAGGCATCGTGTGCACAGAGCCCACCATTGCACCTGATTCATAGCAAATGCTCAGAAGGTTTCTTGGGGTTTTTTCTTAATTAATTGAATTTTAAGAAAATCTCAGCTCAACTATCAACACCCTTCTCCTTCCACTGCCTACTACTAACCAGCTTTCAAAGACTACTTCTCGAACTCCAGCCTCGACTAGACTTGCTATTCCTCCTTTTCAAAAACAGCCACAATTTCTCACACCCCACAGTCCTCTGACAGTGTGTCTCTGACACTCTTCCTCCCGGAAGGTGAGCTCCAGAGCCCTCCCCTGGGATTTGAGGCTGGGCCATAGACGATTCAGCTTCGGTTTTTGGTACGCAAGGTGTGTGAGCTCCACCTGGTAAGAGCCACTAGTCGGCACCCATTTGCCAGTGTGGGAAGTGCATCCTCCTCCAGGTGCCCGTCCGTCCTCCCCAACAGACACGACACTTTCTGAAGCAGGACTTAGCTGTCCCCACTGAACCCTGCCGCAATTGCAGAGTCAGTAGCAAAGTAAATGTTAGTCACTATTTTAAGCCACTATATTTGGTTTGTGATGTGGCAACACATGACTGGAACAGCAGCCTGTCGGTCATACAGATGTGGTAGAACTCAGTGGTTCAGTGAGTAGGCTAGAGAATACAGGTGTCTTGGTTCAAAGCCCAACTCTTCTGACTAGATGCATGAGTTCTGAGGAGTTACTTAACCGCTCTGTGTCCCAGTTCCCTTATTTTTATAGTGTAGATAAATATAGCACCCAGTACTTCAATTACTTGGGTGATTGAATGCAGGTAGCTGCCAATCTACAGCTTATACAAATCAGTCATTGTGATCACTTGCCCAGACAGGCTTCTCTCCAATCAACCAACAGTCATTCCGGGGATTCGGATCTTGTCCGCATAACTTTCAGTCCTACTTGAAATGGTCTATTTTCGCCCACCAGGATGGAAGCCCCAGGAAATCAGCAGCCTTGCCTATCTTACCCCCAGGATCTACACCCGTGCTAGACACAAAGTGCTGAATAGCTTTCGTCTGCCCTCTCTAGCGACTGGATGACGAGTACTTTTTGCCCTACTCTGGAAGACCTCGCTAGTTCTTCCCAGGAGCCATCCTCTCCTTCCACGACTTTGACAGCAGGAGACCATTGCTTCTATTTTGAATGTCAGGATCCCAGCCTCCCTGCAGGTGGTTAGGTAACTAATTTCTGGCCAGTGAGAATATCTGGGGGAAGAAAATGCCGTCTTGGTGGAGACACTGCCCTTTCTTCTTCCTTCTGGCTTCCTGCCTTAGCATCGGCTGGAAGTAGAGCCATCAGCAAGGGCATAGGACGCAGGATGAACAGGAGAACGAGGAGAAGCCCGGGACCTTGAGGATCTAGTGGAGCTTCTAGACCACTGACTCCAGGCCGCTTTGTTCTGTGAGAGAAGTGAAGCCTTGTAGCCAAGCCACAGCAGCCATACTTCTGTGATGTGCAGCCACGGGCCACGTTAACTACTAACACACTGTGGGAGAGTGGTGTCTACATATCTAGGAATCCCATAGGAGCAAACCCGACTTCCTCTTCCTTGTTCCTATATGGTGGTGCGACTTCAGAAGAATCCGGCCGGACAGACATCACTCGCCACCCAGATCTTGTCGATCCCTTCAACGTGTCTGTTCAATCCCTGCAATCGGAACCGTGGTGACCGGGGTTGGGAATTTGTGTTTATCTGCATCTACTTAGCTCCTGCCGAGATTTCAAATAGCGTGAGTTACCTGCACTACATATTCCTGAAAGAAAGACGCAGTTATTGCCTCTCTCTGCCGTACACTGTGTGGGTATTGGGGTTCCGACTCACCATGACCGGATCGTAAGCACATAGTAAACCCGTCTCAGAGGGTTTCCAAGACCGATCTTCAGACAGGAGCCGACTGCAGGGGGTTCTCCGAACAGCGGCTGGGTGGGCTGGAACTGCCAGCATTGAGGTCAGCAGCCACGTGCTTAAGCATTGTTCCCCCACCTCCCCCGCCACCCCCAGGCTCCTCGGAAAGAAACAGCCCTCACTCACTGCTATTGCGGCCATTCCAACGCTAGCAAACCCACAGGACGGTAGAACCGTGCTGTGGGTGGTGAGACCAGCTGTACGGGAGTAGAGAGCCCCAGTCCGTCTCCAGGGCCCCTCCGATCCGGAATATAAGCTTGGTCCACTTAGAGTCCAGCACCGCCCACCGCCCTGTTCCTCACCTCAACCTTCTGCAGGACTTGGCTTCTTGTTTTTTTGTCTTTTCTTTTTTGAGTGCTTCCCAGTGCCTAGAACACACAGTCCTTGCGCTACCTATGTTGAGAGTTTAAATGCCTGATGTTCGATTTCCCAGAGAGAGTCATTCAAGAGTCAGATTCTGTGTGCTTTTTCTGCAACACCGTTTGCATGTGCGCTAGCTGGTCAGCCATAAAACGGCTATTCTACCAATATCGCATGGATGTGCTCTCCCTAAACTGAGAGCACCAGTGTGACCCCGATGTCATGGCTGGCTGTTAGAGTCCCAAGCCCAAACGAAGGGTCCCTTCACTCAGTTCCATGGTACATCCATATCAAAATTTGGGATACATTTTGGCAAAATGTGTCAGATTAGCCATGAAGTTCGGTTTTAAGAATCCCTTGGGTTTAAAGCCAAGCGGAGACAGAGCCGAGTCAGGTGCCAGGAATCCTAAGGCCAAATTATGATATTGTCCCTTTTCATATTTTACTTCTGAAGGCTTTTAGTGTGTGTGTGTGTGTGTGTGTGTGTGTGTGTGTGAGTGCACTATTTCAAGGGGCAGCATTCGGGCCATTTTGAGAATCTGGTGAAATTTTAGCACCATTCTCTAAAATAATGCATCCGGTCGTATGTACGTGTGTTCCACACACATGCACATACACACACATTTGGGAACTGTCTCGAGGACCAGATTAAGAATGCACCTGTGCCTTGCCATGAAGGTAGCCAGCCTGGATATTGGTCAGCCTCGGGTCAGGCCACCAGCCCACACCATTCGGAGGCCACCTCTAGGCCAGACAAGCAGAGTCGTGCTTTCTTGAACCCAGTTCTGAAGATAAAGTCCTTTAAGTTTGTTGGGAAGATAGGATATGTCCAACTTCATCTCCAGCACAACTGTATTGACACAAATATGACTACTATTAGGGAAGAGTGGTATTTAAAATATGAGTAGTTTCTCTCCATTTGAGCAGAAAATGTCTTTTAATCTAAACAGCTCATTATATTTGGTCCTTTATTATGAACTGTTTTCATTTATGTGTGTGTGCGATCCCAGTGAGTGGGAAGCTTCCTATAAAGTACTAGGTACTAAGACCTGTTAGGCTTCTGTATTCCCCACAGTGATATGTGGGTGTAGGAGCCCCCGAGTGTGGGAAATATTTACTGGCTGAGGCTCAGGAAGCTGCTATGGGCAGGCAGCTTTCCTTGTAATAGTACCCCCTCCGGACTATGACATCACCCCAAGAGGACTTAGACCCCATGCTCTATTTACACTCTGGGTTTTAGGTCACGGTATTTCTTGCATACCTCATGCAAATGTGCAATCTTAGATATAGGGCCTAGTGGAACCCTTTATACAAAAAAGAAAGAAGGGGAGGGAGGGAGGGTAGAAAAGCCAGCCATTACATATTAATAAATGAATATATTCTTTCTTTTAATTAAATCATTTTATTGGGGGCTCGTACAACTCTTAGCACAATCCATACATACATCCGTTGTGTCAAGCACATGTACATTTATTGCCCTCATCATTTTCAAAACACTTGCTTTCTACTTGAGCCCT